TGTTCTGAGGACCGATGAAAATGATTGTTTTTTTTTTATGAGAATGTCATTGTTTTTGTGTGAATGTTATTGTGTTCAATAAAAAAATTAAAAAAAACTTGACTGGGGAAAAAACAAAACACATGAGGTACCAAATTAAGAGCTTGATCGTTAGTATTACAACCGTGAAGGTCAGGGGGAGGTCTACGACGGAGTATTAGGGCCACACTGCGAATTTTCTTTCGTCATTCTTATCAGCAATGATTTTGTGACAGAATTAATTRAGCTCAATTACAAATAGAATAAAACATTAAGGATTTCTGTTACATATAAGTCTTTTGTGTGATTTTTTTATTTCATCTGTGAAAGTGTGAATTAGTGATGTTTAAGGATTTTGTTCCTTTGAGATGTAGTTTGTCATATTTAAAAAAAGGAATCCACATTATTGTACATGTGTGATGTACTACTGTAGTGATGAGACTGAACCTATTTAAAAGAAATAAACATTGCAAATGTGCCATGTCGTCTTTGGTATAAAGACTATTCTTGATTTTTCTAGGCGATATGAGCTTATTTTTTTAAATACATCACAGTTCTGGTTTACAAACTAGATTATACCTTGATATACAGCAATTCGTTTACAGCTGATCAGTTGGGCTGAATTTAACAAAATAAAATACTTTATGGTATGAGTTGCTACTTGTAAAATATTCTGTTCCAGTTTTTACTATCAAAAATTTATTTTCCTTAACAAATATAGTGTTACATGAASGTAGATTACTGTACAACTTTGTGTTCATAGTAACATATAACACTTTTTAAACTCAAAATTCACATCAAAGACGACCTTTTGAAGAAGCATTTATGAGACTAAGAATTGATTTAAAACATGATGCGGTTTTATCTTCCACAGCAAAACTGTGATTTTTAATGCTGACTTTTACTCATAAAGTCAAGAGTAATATTTGTGTCTCTTTAGAAACAATCTGAGAATTTATTTTATGTGATGAACACTTTTACAAACAACTCTTAGAGCCATGAATTGCTGATACCCACTTTGCAGTGTCTCAACACTAAATCAGTATCAGCTTTATTGTCATTCAAACATAACATCAGGGATGCAATGTAGAACAAAATTCAGATGATTCTCTCATAAAAAAATCATCAAACTTGTATATTCTCTGACAATATTTCCATGAAGACGCTAACACTTTAGCTAAGCCCATGCGTGTACACCATATAAACATAGATCACGTCAAACTCAAGGTCCACGGGCCAAATGTGGCCTAGCACTGCCTTTTATGTGTCCTGCAAGAGCTTCAAAAKTGTTTTAATGTGTAATACATGTCTGCTGCTTTAAAGCCAGAACTGACCATAAACTACATCTCCCAAAATGCATGTTGATTATTTTACCTGAGAAGTAATGGCACTTCACCATTAGGTGAAGGTGCACAGGGTTCAAAAGTAGCAATTGAAATTTGATGCGTAAAATCTCCATTTTGCTACATTTTCACMGGCTACTTTTGGTGAGGACCAGTTGTACTGGGAAGTGCYAATTTCCCACTTACAAGTTGTAAATTTAAACAGGACGGCTCGCTCCAGCGGGAATTCCRTGTGGGAAAGTGGGAGCAACTCTGATTAAGAAGATGACGCTACTCACAACTCAAAAACAAGTAAAACTCTCTTCATTTTACTTTTAGTAGTATTTCTGTATTATTTATTCCATATTTAGTCAGTTGTACACAAAATACCTTTCAGTGTTTATATGATACTATGCAGGAAATACCACGTAGAGCTCTGTTATTGTTTGTTAGTGGTGCTCAGCTGTAACAATGAGATGAGAAATGTGATGTTTCTTGTTGAGTTAGAGACCCCTGCTATAAATGGAATTTGTCCTCCCTACCGTTTCCTTCTCTGTCTAAATCTTGTACCCAGTTTGGCTGGCTTACTTTCCCTGACCCAATTTGCGAGGACACCCCATTTACTGGMATCTGAATAACCATCCCAGGTGATACAAATTGTACAAATGAATAACAAACTTGTTAAAAAGTCCACAAATCAAACATTTTCCAAGTCGTTTTAATGAAATGTTGACTTAAGACTTACTGCAAATCGGAAATACTTTTTCACATGAGCAGATAAAAGCTTACAATTTAAAGTTACAACACACAGTAGATCCACATAAGGGTGCATTTCAAACCATATTCACCTAATAATGCAATATCTGAAGAATGCTGTCAGCATGGTCCAACAATCAGGAGCAACTTTATTTGACAGAATCAAACAGTTTGTGAGCAACCTGGAGAGAAAAGACAGGAAATAAATCAGATTAACAACATTACACTAAGGTAAACAAAACAACTCATCCCCTTTCCTTTCCTAAATATGAATGTCTTCATRGAAAAAAAAAACTTTCTTAAGACATACATGTGAATTTTTAAAATTCCTGCTATCTCCAAAGGGTAAAAGTCATACATACACAGTGGTCCCGAGCGTGCAAGAAGTCAAGCAACTCCTCAGTACAATCCTCCTCTGTCGAAGACCGAGAGTTGACTCTAGTGTTACACTGCTCTAAACGCTCCCGAGTGTGAATGCAGTGCTCTGCCGCTTCACACTTCTCTCGCACAGTTTCAAGAGGATCCTGTAACAAAAGATACAGCACTGAGAAAACCATTTTTACAAGCAACCTGACTGGTACAGGGACAAAGATCAAATCTGTGTACAATCCTGAAKACATCTTAGATTAAAGATGTGTAAATGGGCAAATACCAAGTACAGCATAATAATCATTTTAAACTTAGTTATTACTATGCTAGGTGGTTTACATGGGGATATATTTTTATCCACAAAACAAAACAACATCTAGCAAAGTGGCAAAAAAGAGACAGTATTCGTATGAACACTAACAGGCAGCTTTACGGTTTCCTGTGTTACAAATAACTGTTCAATAAAAGCAAATATACGATTAAAAATGGTCTTGTGCCTAAAATGAAACATGCAAATAAGCTATGAAGACGTGTTGTTAACATACCACCATCTCCTCCTCCTCTTCCTCCTCCTCCTGAAACAGACACGACCAAATCAGTAACAGAACTGTGCCAGTCATCGTTAGCCCTCACTTTCATGTTTGTACACATTCAGTTGTAATGGAAATACCAAAAAGYATTTATATTTCCTTAGAAAATACATGACTTAGGCGTTGTTAATACATCCGTGTTTAATATATCTCACTGCTGTTATGTCAACGTTGTCTACGCTAAAGAAAGTTATTGGCATTAGCTGGGGATAGTTAGCATATCTTCTTTTCAAATGTATTACAGTATTTTAGTCATCGTAAAACTGTAACAAACACTGACATTATCAGGCTCTCCGTTCGTGATCATCTTCTCCTCCAAAACCATAATGTGGTTGTTCAAGTCTTTAATCGACTATCAGTGAAATCACGGCKGCTGGAGGACACCACAGGTCAAACAAAGCGGAAACAAGCGAACAGCCGGCGGAAAACAAACAATGACATTTCCGGTGACCAGACTTTCACAATAAACTTCTAGAAGTTTTTTTTTTTTTTACGTGAGATG